GGGGGCCCCGCAGCCAATTACAATAAAATTTAAACAGCTGTTTGGAAACTTTACTAGCAGAACAGCAGAAAAATGAACTGATTTCAATCATAATCCTGATACTCTCCAAATCATCTCCAATCGTCTGGTTCACTTTCTCCTCCAGTCACTGCTTGGCAGCTGCTCAGCTCTCAACATTACTGCAGTCGCGTTTACAGGGGTTAAAATCCAGCTGGAGTTCCTGTGAATGTAGAAGACGTGGTGGTGGATCTGTGAAAGCGAGGCCTGAAACTACGACAGAGTATGAAAGTGTCAGTGATGAACTGTCAGGGTCAAAGGTGAGATATAAATAAACAAAACACAATGTCCTCGCCTGCTGTGGCAGTACGCTTTAGCCTAGCACGGTAGACAGTCTGGGTTTGTTAGTCTGTTCCTGACGTTTTCTTCATCTTCGTTAGGTGCCTCTCCCAAAAAGGCTTCTTCTGCTATTACGATGTCAGGGTTGTGTACAATAGCAGAACGCTTTTTGGTCTTGATCATAAAAATTGCTGAAATTTTGCAGAAAAATGCCTTCGCAAATGACCTGTACACACACATCTGTGTAATAACACATCCACATTACTGCATTTAGTGCTGCAGCAGAACAGGAAATGTTGTAAATCCTTTGCTGTGTTAAAGCTTTTCAGTTTCATCTGAATATATATATATACACCAATCAGGCCTAACATTCTGACCACCTCCTTGTTTCTACACTCATTGTCCATTTTATCAGCTCCACTTACTATATAGGTGCACTTTGTAGTTCTACAGTTACAGACTGTAGTCCATCTGTTTCTCTGATACTTTGTTAGCCCCCTTTTACCCTGTTCTTCAGTGGTCAGGACCCCCATGGACCCTCACAGAGCAGGTACTATTTGGGTGGTGGATCATTCTCAGCACTGCAGTAACACTGACGTGGTGGTGGTGTGTTAGTGTGTGTTGCGCTGGTCTGAGTGGATCAGACACAGAAGTGCTGCTGGAGTTTTTAAACACCTCAGTGTCACTGCTGGACTGAGAATAGTCCACCAACCAAAAATATCCAGCCAACAGCGTCCTGTGGGCAGCGTCCTGTGACCACTGATGAAGGACTAGAGGATGACCAACACAAACTGTACAGCAGCAGATGAGCTATCGTCTCTGACTTTACATCTACAAGGTGGACTGACAAGATAGGAGTGTCTAATAGAGTGGACGGTGAGTGGACACAGTGTTTAAAAACTCCAGCAGCCCTGCTGTGTCTGATCCACTCACACCAGCACAACACACACTAACAGCACCGTTGATTCAGCACCGTCTTCAGTAACACAGACCTATATGTATATATTTACACTCTAAAAGTGATGTGTTAAATAATCAGACACTCAGTTGTGACCCACTGTAACACTGTGTCAGGCTCTTTTCGGGACACTGACTGCATGTTTTCAGACAGGTGATGCTTTTATTCAGAGAGCTGCTGCTGGAGTTTTAACCAGGACAGAACTGAGCTCATCACTGCAGCTCCACAGGATCTACACTGACCTCCAGTCAGTTTCTGAACAGAGGTCAGGACCAGGGTTCCCCAGCAGGCCCACAGTTCTATTACACACTTCTATAATCCAGAACAGCTCAGCCAGTTAACACTGAAGTCCCTGTAGTTACTGAATCCTCAGTGTGTAATAAGCCTGGGATTTTAAGGGGTTAAAGAGCTGCTGCATCTGTAAATCACTGAACAGTTACAGCCCAGAATAGGTCACTGTAGTCGTGCGTCATTCTGTGGTCCTCCTTATGCCCCTGTTAGGAACTCCGGGTCTGAGCTCCATTTCTTTAGGGCCAGAATGAATAGGGTTTTCGAAAAAAGGTCGCCTCTAGCGCCCCCTGTGTTCAATAAAAATGTTCAGAACCCGACACGTTTTGTCCTGTGAACATTTTTCTCCCGAATACCACTGGATCCTCCGAATTACGAGGTCAATAAAGAGCTATAATACTAATATTGCTACATGTGAGCTAAAGCTACTGCGCATCAGTTTGATGTCTCTAAGCTACACTAAACTAAGGCGGGCTGTGGCGGAGCTCTGAGCTGTGCTACCTTATCAAAATGTTCTACTCTAGCGCAGAATTACAGGTATACCCATAAATAAAACCTCTGGGTGGGATATTTTGAGGCTAAACCTCCTTATCAAAAATACTACCAGCATTAAAACTACGAGGCTGAGTTTAGCTTCTTTTATCGCAGCTTCTTGTTTGAATGTTCCCGTTCCACCTTAAATGGTGCAGCAGCTGTGATTAGCTATCACAAACATCAGCAAACGAGACAAAACACTGACCTGTCGGTTTTGAGAAACAGCAAAAATTAGTTAATGTCACTCAGCTGTTCAGCAGAAATAGAGAAACCTCCTCATATCAGGCCTTTCAACCCTCCATGAAGCTGAACTCAGCTTCTTTTTCTCCGGCTGCTTGTTCGAATTTCCCCGTTAAATGGGGCAGCAGTTCGGAACGTGACTGCGGCACCGTTTAAGGTAAATGTCGAACAAAAGCTGGCGAATGTCCTGAGAAAAATGTTCCCAGCATTAAAATAATATCGAGGATATTCTGAGAGCCTAAATCAGTTCATCAGGGTCAGCAGTGATCATTAAGCTGAGTCTGTACCGGATCAGCCCGAGTTCAGCTACGTCTGTAGATCTTTTCAAATCAAGATAAAAGGAGAGATCTGTGGTGTTTCAGTGAGCATCAGATCTTAGACGAGCTCCAAACACAGAGATTTAAAATCCAACTTAAAAACATTTCTCTCTTTTTGTGCCTACACACTTAAAACAGACGGTTCCTCGAGGGTTCTTTAGTAAAGAAATTGGTTCTGTATAGAACTGCATGGCTCTCTGCATGGTGAAATGGTTCTTCATACTGATGGAGAACGTGTTGTAAATGGTTCTACATTGAATTTTTTTTAAAAGGCTCCCTTTATTATTACAAGCCTGATATCATATACCAGAACCCTTTGGGTGCAACATAGAACCCTTTTCAAAAAAAAATTCTATACAGAACCATTATCTTTACTAAAGAACCCTTGAAGAACCATCTTCTTTTAAGTGTGTATGATATGTGCTCTATTCTTACCTTAATCAGCTCATTTTAATAACACGTTTGTCCTTTTTTTGATGTTTTTTGTTCTATTTTAATGTGCTTTTTATTAAACTTGCCATGTGCTTTACATGCTTTCATAATTAGATTAATTAAATAAAACTCACAGCCTCTAATTAAGCCCCTCCCCTTCACTCTCTCTGCCAGAACCACCTTATCAGTGATAGTGACACAGATATTAAGCGGTTTGAGGGTAAATTAAGAGTTAATAAACTGATTTATTGAAGCTGCCTAATGAAAAATGTAATCCTTAAACATGAATCCATAAAACAGTAATCTGATTACACCTGTTTTCAAAGGTATTCTACTCTGATTATAGGTGTTTTATTACTTCATAATCAGATTATGTAGGCCTTATTCCACAACACAGATCAATAACACTACCAATACTAAATCTATCATTAATACAGCACTTACAGGTCAGTATGAACACAGCGGCGGGCGGCACTCGACCACTGAAATGCCCTTTAATGATGAAAATGCTGAAGAAATGAATTACCGCACTCCGTACAGCTGTACGATGGCAGTATAGAGTATCAGAGCAGTGAAACCAATACACCTTTAACACAAACACCAGCTTTCTGGACAAAAATATGACACAAAAGTAATAAATCTTGCAAAACTACTTTACTATGTTGGTTTTAATGAGCATGTTTCAGTTATTCTGTTTTATTTTATTTCTCACAATACTTATGGAGGGCACCACATGTTGTAAAATGTGGTTCACTGAGCTAGAACGCTTAGAAAGGAACCTTACATTAAACTGCAGCAGGACACACAACGATATTTAGTGAAATACTGCATAGTGTATTATAACCTGCCTGTATATGTCAGACAGTGTTTATTATGCCTAATGCACTATAACATGTTATAAATGTTCATAGTTTCTTAGAGACATTGTATTGAGAGAAAGTGTGACTGGAAATTCGTCTGTAGATCAGATGGGCCTTTGTGAGAAAACTGTTTGGTCGCTGATTCAGTTTCTCATGTGTTTAATTGTAAAATATAATTTTATTTACATTTTTGTTTTCTGATCTGAATCACTACATCAGTGTGTTCTGATCAAAAACCAGTAGTTTTTCTAATTAACTCAGTATTTTTACTGTAAATCACTATTATATTTATATTATATCAATAGGTTTTTATGTAAATGACCATTTCTGATTAATTATTATTATTAAATCGGTCATTTAAGCTCAGAACTGTGTTTTTTTAATTATCACATTACAGAAAAATGCTAAGAGTCTCGATTTTTGCAGCGGTCTTATATTTCGCGCAGGTAGATGTATAAATATTATTTAATTTCATTATAAGGAAACGTTCGATCATGAGTTCTGAATACGTGCCTGTATGAATGTGGAATTTGGGTTATAACACAGTAAAACTAATAAAGAATATTTTTATTGTTTTTCATCGGAGGCGCGGAGCGTACAGCCAGACCGGTCCGTCAGCGGAAGTGACGCCGCGGAAGTGAAGAGCGGGGTGACATTAGCCGCTAAAGCTAAGGCGCGGGGTCGCAGTTCTGACCATAATGCTGAAATATTGACAGATATCGGGTCACTGATCTGCACATGGACACTCCGGACAGAGGTACTGCTCACCTGGACCTCCACACCCCAGCACGCTGTCCCGAACCGGGATTAGGGCAGAATTAGAGCGGAAACCGAGGAAACTCCGACATTTCACCGCAGCTCTGTTAGTCGGACTGGACTGGACTGGACTGGACTGAACTGGACTGAACTGAACTGAACTGCGCTGCGCTGCGCTGCGCTGCGCTGCGCTGCGCTGCGCTGGGCTGGGCTGGGCTGGACTGGACTGGGCTGGGCTGGGCTGGGCTGGACTGGACTGGACTGCGCTGGGCTGGGCTGGGCTGGGCTGGGCTCGGCTCGGCTCGGCTCCTCTTCTTTAAAACACTCTAAGTTTGACTTCTTATCCGAATTATCCGTTCCACCTTAAATGGTCCAGCAGTTACAAGTAATCAGTGCTGGACGAAGCACACAAACCAGGTAACCTACCTGAGTTAAAGTAGAGACACCCAAGGTAAAATTTTACTCCAGTAAAAGTAGAAGTTCCTCCCTTTAGACCTCCACTGGAGTAAAAGTACTAAAGTATTCACCTTCAAATGTACTTAAGTATCAAAAGTAAAAGTATTAAAGATTAATTATGACTTTAATGTCCTATTATCATTTTTTGTAACAAGACTCGCTTCATTAACTCATTTTAGGTGAAAATACTCCAGTGTCTCTCTTGGTAAACCAGTCTTTTAATAGAGTCATTAATTAGTGACGCTGATGTCTATTAAAATTATCATAAGCACAAAACACTGAAGGCAAACAGTTTCCATCAGGTAGAACTGAGTGGCTCTGAAATCACTTTACAAACAAGCAAAGTTTCAGTTTAAGATTTATTTGAACTTAGTTCCAAGTTTAAGTTTAATAAAAACTTTAAACTCAGGTTCACAAATGAGTTTCCTTTACTAAACTGCATCTGTAGGTCTCTGTTCATAAACATAAACTAGCCTAAACTAATTTACTATAAAATGAAATGTGTTTGTATAAATTCAGAATAAAGACCCGTCAGTCACAACTGCATATGAGTACATATTTCTATATTGTGGTCTGTTTACACAAAGTTAGGTTAGTTCATCATTTATGTTGAATAGACTCTCCCAGAATTTTCCGCTGCTGCACTGATGTTGAGCCGTGTGCTGCACTGGGTCGGTATGACCAACAGGTCAAAACAAGCTCAAAACAAAGTGACCGCTGTGCCCTGATTGGTGCTTCACGCTTCTTTCATTTTGACATGTTATGTTTTTATACACACATAAACCAAAAGGAGCGACAGATTTCTCATCATGTAGTGGAGTAAAAAGTGAGATATTAGACTTTGAAATGTAGTGGAGAGAAAGTGAAAAGTCACCCAAAGTGGAAAAACTTCAGTAAAGTACAGATACATGAAAAAACTACTTAAGTACAGTAACGAATTATATTTACTATGTTACTGTCCACCACTGCATGTAATTGCTGTACCATTTAAGGTGGAACGGAAAATTGCAATCTACAAACGATTTGCTTGTTTGTTTTCCACTTTTTTATAACTGTTTCTCCACTCTGAGTTTTTCTGTCTCCAGGTTTTCACCATAACTCCTTGTGTTTATTGTACCTTTATTATTTATTACACTTATTAACACTGATTTATTTTATATGAACCGAGACCCCAGAAATGCTCCTCAGCCTTTCTGGACAGGACATTTGAAAACAATCAGACCTGCAGCTGGTTTCTAATTGTTCTTCTGTGGCGTCGCGTGGAGATATTTTACATTCTGAACTGAAAGTTTAGTTTCCAATTAAATTTTACTGCATTTAAATAACATCATCATTTATTTAAATAACACGAATCAAATAAGTGCTTCATTAACAGTAGGAGGCAGTTGTTCATATTCAGCCTGATGCCTTATAATTCTCAGCGATAGGTCAGAATGTTCTAATAGGCTGTGGTTCTTAGAAGAACTTAGACTGTGACTCAAGTAAATCAGTGTCAAATATGTGCACCAGTAATGAACGCGAATAAAGAAGTGAACCAGATTTGTATTTCCTGAAGGAGCGCAAGAAAACTTTAGAAAATAATATTCACAAGGATAGAACTGAATGGCAATTCCCAGTTGGTTGCTAGGGTGTTGCTAGGTGGTTTCAGTGACATCCCAGGTGGTTTCAGTAGGTGGTTGCTGGAGTGTTGCTAGCTGGTTCCCATGCTATTCCAGGTGGTTTCTTTGGGGGTTGTTGCTGTTTTGTTCCAGGTGGTTGCTAGGGTGTTGCTAGGCAGTTGCTATGGTATCTCAGGTGGTTGCTAGGGTGTTGCTAGGTGGTTGTGTGTAATTGCTATGATTTCTCATGTGGCTAATAGGATATTGCAAATGATTGCATGATCATAATATAAGCTGAGTGTGCAAACTGTTGCCCCCCATTCATTCATGTGGGGGAATAAAATGTTGGTGTACAAAAACCATACGTCCGATCAAAAAGGCAGTTGCACAGCGTTCCCGATCAGAACCAACATTCTGGAGTCACCTTAAATGATGCTGCAGTTACACTGAGCTGCCTTAAACGTAGAAGGGATTTCAAACAAGTGAAATATGAAGGCAACATCAGATTACCTCAATAAATTAATTAATATACCTCAATAAATGCATTAATTTACCGTAATAAACTGCATTAATTTACCTCAATAAATGCATTAATTTACCTTAATAAACTGCACTAATTTACCTCAATAAATGTATTAATTTACCTTAATAAACTGCACTAATTTACTGCAATAAATGTATTAATTTACCTCAATAAAAGCTCCTTAATTATCAAACCCCTCAAACTTATTCTTGGAGGTGTTTAACGAGCAGCACAGCTGTTGATGGCGTCTCACTGGCTGATCTAACGCCGCGTCCCAAACTGCACACTTCTGTACTTCACCTACTGCACTAGTGCGATATTCACTGCTAATGGGATATTCACTATTTTTACTCACTAGTTAGTGAGCCAGTGTGTGGTTTGGGATGTAGCAGACGTAACACAGTGAGAAATCATTTAGATCTCAGCTGTCCTTTATTGAATATTACGAATTGCTTAATTGCTTAATTTCAGCGTCACTGCAGCGTTAGCCACGGTGTACAGTTAGCTGGGACACACAACAGCTAATCAGCCAGTTCAGCTGTTCTTTTCCTGTATTTTTGAAGAAGAATAAAATGAACAAGAAAGACAATCAAATCTTTAATCGCAGTTACTTAAATGCAGTTAATGGTCAGATAAAGTTCCATCGTGACAGGCCTCACTGCAGACACTGTAATCATGCTTAAAGGGGAAGTTCAGTGTTTCCCCCAAATAATAATCTGCTCACTGCGATGGATTAGCATTAGTGTTCGGGGCTGTGAGTGTCAGACTGCAGACATCATAGAAGATTGTTGGCCAAACTTTTCCTGCAGCTGTGAGATAGAAACACCTGAATGGTGCCGCTCTGAAATCTTACTGCTCTCATGAGGAGATGCTGGTGAACTTAGCTCATTCTTTGGTAGAGTTGGCTTTAATGTTCTCTTTAATGGTGTTAATTGTGTGTTGATGGTTCTGTGTGCAGAGGAGCCTCATCTGAGGCACGTGGAGCTGGATGTGCTGATCCCGAAGAAGATGAGGGAAAAAGCTCGGGAGCTCTGTTCTCAGCAGGTACAAGGTAAGCACACTTTTAACACACACGTGTCTGTGGCACTCGTCCAGCAGAGGGAAGGGTAGGGCCCAGTCCCATTTCTTATTTTTACCCCTACCCCTTGTTTTCGAGTGTCACCCTAACCCTTCAGAACTGAGTTACAGGGTAGTGGTTGAAATCTTCCCTCTGAAATGGGACCCTCAAATAAAAAGAGCATCACTTCATTAACAGCTACCAGCGCTGCTCTGTAGGCGACCCTGCCAGTCTGCAGTGACAGCAGAGGAGGGTAAAGTTCAGCTCCTCACTGCTGGGCTTTAGTTACATTTAGGGCATCATATGATCTTCAAAGAGGGGGGCAATTATTTATTATCACCCACCACTGATTCTTCAGTGATATGAAGCTGAAGTCAGATATTCACCAGCTTCTTGTTTGAATTTTCCCGTTCCACCTTAAATGGAGCAGCAGTTCTGAGGCCTGAGGAGCCAGAATGTAACTGCTGCACCATTTAAGGCGGTGAAACATCAGCACTACTAGTGATTTTTTGTGCTTGTTATGAAGAAAACGACCATAATACAATGAAACAACATTAAAAGATAAAACAGTGGTTTTCGTAATTTTTTAATGGAGAAAATTCTCACGTTTGTGGGTTTCTTTGGTCTTTTGTTCTCCGTCTCGCCGGTTTTTCTTTTTTTCTCATAACTCTCTGTTTGGAGTCTCTGAAAATCCTCCGTTTGGAGGGTCATGTAGCCCCAACACTTCACCCTCCCCCTCTATCTCAACAAGAATTGGGACCCTACACCTAGACGAGAACACACAAAACGGAGGGGTGGGGCTGAGTGGTGGGGGCGAGGGGTGAAATGGGACGGAGCCATAGACTGTAAAGAAATATTGCAGATTTTATTGCGGTCACTTAAACCTCTTATGCTTGTGGGTATATTTTGGTTTTTCCATCTGAATTTCATGCCCAAATCTTAAGGCAAATTAATCAGTAACTGCAAAAAAATAATTGTAATTTTTTTTTTTGTTTTTTTTTGTAAAAGCTCCCCTCAAATTAACAGAACGTGTTTCATGATACACATATTGCTATATGCTTACAATTTACTGCTGAAAGCCAAAAATCTTAGATGCTCTTTGTATTATTTTATTAAAATAATGTTTACAGAGCAGATCACTGAAGAGACGCCAGCTTCTTTTATTATAAGGGTTTAAAATTACATCACCCATCTATTTGACTGGAAAGAAGACAGTTACAGCTCTCATACAACCCCCACCTTTAGAATGTAGCTTATGAAATATGAAAGTTATGAAGTAAAGAATATGACAGTGCGTTTTAAGGAGTTAAAGAGGTTAAGAAAACCTCATAATTGTGTAATTCAGAGATGTATATCTGTTATTAAGTTGCAGTAACTGATGTTATGAACTTTATTACTAATAATATAATGTAATGAGTGACACTTCTGTTTCTAATGTAACATTATATAACAACCTCAAAACACAGCTTTCGGGTCAAAAATAAGGTGGATTAATCGATGTACATTCAGTTTTATTTGCTGTTATTAATCCTTTAAGCCCCGCCTCTAAAGCATCTTCTGATATTTGGTGATGTCACAGTGCACCAGCAGGCCAGGCCAAATAATACCAACCAGTGTTTTGGTGTTCGACCTCTGCAGCGATGTGAACGATCTCTAACTAGAGGAAATGTTTTTTTTTTTTTTTTGACACATTTTTTCCCTTAAATAAACGAAAGAACTGTGTTTTTCATTTGGTGTTTCTGCTCCGTCAGTAATTTTACGCACTTTTCTTTTTTTCTCTCTGCATGAGTAAACGAGTCGGTCTGACTGTGAAAAAGCACAGTGACATTTAAAGACTGAAGCGGATATTCCGGCCGAAGGCGCGGCTGAAAATCACTGCGGCGTTCAGCGTTTCCTATAAACAGGCCGTTTCAGCGCGTGTCTTTTTCATGGACTCATCTCTAGACTGGCTGTCTTTTCCGGCCGCGAGAGGGAGAGTGACCTTTAGCTCAGTCGCGTGTGAGCGGTGAGGATTGTGCTGTTAGAAGTTTTGTAGGTGAGTTTGTGCCTCATTAAAGGGACAGTTTGGTGACAAATCAGATTATAAAACACCCCCCACCCTGCTCACCCCAGCCCAGCCCACCCCAGCCCAGCCAACCCCAGCCCAGCCACGCCTGGTGTCTGCTTCTTTAATTTTAGCCCCGGAGCTACGAGGCTAATGTAGCTAACAGGCAGTGGAAGCTTATACCCACCAATTAGCATCAATGCCCAAATAATCATGGTGTAAGTTAAGCTGGCTTCTTATTCAGCACCTTCATATTTAATCATTAATCAGTGTATCAATTTAATTCTCCGTTCCACCTTAAATGGTGCAGCAGTTACCTGCAGTATTTAAGGTGGAATGGAGAATTAGAACCATGCACTTGGTTACGTGGTGCTCTGTTATCTGTAAAAGCGCAGACGCAGTTCTGTTGATGTTTTCGTCCGTTTTTAAAGGCGAGCGTAAATGTCAGAGAGCGTCTGCGTGGGAGTGAATAGTATCCTGTGATCGTTTGAGGTTCACGTGCCGTTTGTTGTCGCTGTGATTTGTTTGTTTTTCTCCTTTTTGTTCTTTTTTCACCTCTTCTTTTCTCACTCGCTTTGGTTTGTTCTGCAGGATTAACACCCCGAGGTGCTGAGCGTGCAGCCTTTCGCGAAGTTTCTTCGTTCTTTTTTCTCGCGTATCCACACCTGCAGCCCACGCAGGCGTGGAAACCCCCTCCTAACCTTCAGCGCTGGCTTTCACACCTCCTCCCCGGCCACGAGCCTCGCGCGCTGCAGCTGCAGCTCTCGGCCAGACGCCCGAGTCTTTCTGCAACGGGCTCTAAAATGTGACCTACTTTTGGTCAAATTGATTCATTTTAATCGATTTCACTCTGACTGACGTGATAAACACAGACTGCAGCGCTTCACCCGACAGAGCGGGTCTGAGTGAAGATGTGAGGAGTGAAAGTGACGCTTTGAGGCTAAAATGTAACGTTGATGTTTAATGTAGTCAAACAGGTTCCAGTAGAACGTGCTTTCAGTCTCATATCGTCATAGCAACGTCATCTGTGGATGTTCACAGCAGTCAGTCAGACGTTCCTCCAGATTCTCACCAGTACAGTATCTTCCTCCATCCTGAGTGTTTGTGATCAGTAAGCTATACAGAATTCAGTCCTATATTAGTTCAGTCGCCTCTTGGTGTCTGTAATATATCAGCGTTCAGAAGCAGATAGACAGCTCACAGTGAGAGACAGACAGGCTACAGTACAGCCTCCACATAGGGGAGGTTAGTCTAACACACTGTTACAGCTGAGGTCCCCACAGTAAACAATCAGAACAATATATAATATCCCAAAATATACATTCCCCTCATATCGCTGCTGTTGGAAAAAAACCTTCTGTTTCCATTTATGTTGTTTTTCACTTCTTGACCTAATTAAAAAATGCCTGTTTCAATTTAAATAGTGTGTTAATTTCATGATGAATGGACCAAAAGAAACGGCCTCAAAGTCACTTGGAAAAAGTCTGGTTCCGTTGACCTACATCAGAAGTAAAGTACGTTTTTACTTTCTACTGTAAGGTCACCATTTTGGAGATTTTGACAGGTTGTGTTCCAACAGTAGTCACATTGACATGACATGCTTTTTTAAGCCTGTTATTTTCCCAAAAAACGATTTAATAAATACATGACATATATCAGATTATTCATCAGTACGTCTTTTATGTGAAACAATTTTCAGCGCACCCATATACAGTTCATTTTAGTTTCTTTTTGCTTCAATGTCAGGTGGTGCAGCCGTTCAAACCATATATGCTGATTAGGTAAACTAACAAAAAGGGTAAGTTGGTCGTAAAATTGTACAGAAAATAGTTTGGCTTGACTTTATGCTTGAAAGCTTCTGTTGCAAAATAAGTCAACTTTAAAAGAGCTCAACTCACTGAAAAACTCGTGTCCGCAAGTTCTCACTTCCATAAACGTCAGGCAGCACAAACAAAAACAAACCCCAAAGAACAAACCCCGAATAAGAGGACACTGGTGAGTCTTCGTCAGAACTGCGTAAGAGGGATTAAGAAGAAATGTCTTCTTAAGAACAGTTGGTGAATGAGGCCCAATGTTATTCCCAAAGAATGCAGCTTTAAGAGTGTTGCATCTAAACTTCTGTCACTTTTTTTTCTACATAATTTGTAAAATTATTTGATGACTAGACCAACAGAAATGAAACCAGGAAGATCTTGTGGCAACCTAAACGTATCTGGAGAAAAACTGTATTTTTTGTTGTGGAGTTCTCCAGATGTTCCATCTCTCAGTGTGTATGAATATATATATACACACACACACAAGATTACTGAACAGTCCCACATGATCTGGGTCAGGGGTCACCAACATGCGTCTCCTTTACTGCCCTGTGGCTCCACAGCTGAATCAGATTAGTAGGTAATAATAAAATAATCCTCCTTTACAGTAAAATAAAGCTCTGCTGATCGTTCAACACAGTTTAACAATAAATGGTCTTAAACTCTGGAGTTAATGTAGAACTGCTGATTCACCCTTTAACCCTGAAGATCAGCGCAGACTGCTGGTCACCATAGCAACACAGACAACAGTCTCGCCTAGCTAGTAGCTAACGAAACGGCAAAGAGAGAGATTTAAGATGAACATCGATAATTTGGAGATGAATGGACTTATTAGTGTTTATAATCACTCCAGCTGGTTTCCTGATACGTTTAATCTGCAACGAGAAACTGAAACACTAAAAACTCACAAAGCTGAAATCAGTTTCTCATACGAATTGTCCCGTTCCACCTTAAATGGTGCCTGAGGTGCCAGAATGAAACTGCTGCACCATTTAAGGTGGAACAGGAAAATTCGAACAAGAAGCTGGAGAATGAGAAGCGACTTCAGCCTCGTAAAGAGATGAATGTTGAGAGTCATTTTACAAGAAACTGTTCTAGTTTTGAGGAAAAGTTTCCTGCTGGAGATGCGAGAAAAGCAGCTGTAGCTGAGCTGAAGATTAAAGCAGAGCAGAGTGAGTCTGAGTTTTTGTTTATATTTTTTAGTCTATACTAGGACATCAGCACATACTGAGACATGTTTACAGCCAAGATGGTAAAATGGGTATATAATGCTGTGGCTCCCAAGGTGGTTTGACTTTTGTTAAAACTTGACAGAATGGCTCTTCTGAACATTTGGGTTGCGACTCCTGGTCCGGGGTGATGATTTCAGCACTGATGGTGGTTGGTGGGTATTAGCGTCCACTGCTTGTGTGTTTACAGGTGAGCAGTGTTCGGTGTGGACAGTGTAAGTCTGTCTGTTAAAGCTGGTTCTGAATGAGCTGATAAGGTTCCTCCCGTCGGTGTGTTCCTGCTGTTCGTCCGGCCGTCGTCCCGTACAGAGCGATTACCCCGCGGCTCCTCTGATGCGCCCCTGATCTGGGTGTGCGAGTGTTTCTCGGGGGACGGCGTCTCAGGCTTTGTCGGCGATTACGGCGGCGTGTGAAGACGCGTCAGGCCTGTTTAATCTGGAAATCGTATCAGCGCTGCTGATTTCTCCTCTGCTGGAGACTCATTAACTCCCAATATCTGTTTGTTCCTAATCATGTGAGAATTAATTGACTTTGGAGTAAAATCCCTCAGCTCCCGCTGCTCGGCCAACCAGAAGAAAGAGATTGAAACGGGAAAATAGCGCCGCAGAGGATTCTGGGTAGGCCGAATGCAACAATTCTACACCTACAGTTATTAAAGAGCACATATCCTTCATTTTTCTTACTTTATTCTTTCCCTGAGATTCACTGTGACGTTTGTATGGTTTTATGTAGTAAAAACAACCATAATTCATTTTCCAGCCTCTCTTTATCTGTTAGTATTAAACAAACTGTGTCCTTTGATATATGTTTTGATATAGATTGATATATGTAAATGAGCTCTGTTCTGATTGGCTGCCCTGCATTGTGCCTCATTTAAAAAGCAGTCTGGGCTGGTCAGGGCTGGATGGGTGGGCCTAAACTGCTGTAGGCTGAATGGGCGGGGCTAAACAGCTGTAGGCTAAAATAGGCACAATGCAGGACAGCCATTCAGCACAGAGCTCATTTACATATATCAATCTTAAAGACACAGCCTGTTTAATTCTAAGAGATTAAGAGAGGCTGGAAAATGAATTATGGTTGTTTTTGGTACAGAAAACCATACAAACGTCACAGTGAATCTCAGGGAAAGAATAAAGCAAGAAAAATGAAGGATATGTGCTTTTTAGTGAGTGACAGACTGTAATACACTACAGGAAGTGTAGGGGGCGATATGGCTTCTTCTGTTTCATTTAAAAAGCCTCTATAATGTTCATATGATCCACACAGTCACTCTGACAGACTGTAATACACTACAGGAAGCGTAGGGGGCGATATGGCTTCTACTGTTTCATTTAAAAAGCTCTATAATGTTCATATGATCCACACAGTCACTCTGACAGACTGTAATACACTACAGGAAGTGTAGGGGGCGATATGGCTTCTACTGTTTCATTTAAAAGGCCTCTATAATGTTCATATGATCCACACAGTCACTCTGACAGACTGTAATACACTACAGGAAGCGTAGGGGGCGATATGGCTTCTACTGTTTCGTTTAAAAAGCTCTATAACGTTTATATGATCCAAACTGGGGGAATCTGATTTTGTGCTGTAATATGGCCTTATTATCGGGCTGTTAGAGTATTTTGACTGATGCAGCTCGTCATTGTTATGATTATTGTTCATTATGGCTTCATTCGTCCTGAGTGATGTTTCCTGTGTTTTGTCCAGGCTGTTAGTCTCAGTCCTGACTGTGTAACTCGGTGTTTGTGTGTTGGAGGTTGGGGAGTGCGCTGCCGCTGCCGCTGCAGTGGGAGCTGATTGTTGACTGTACTGCGGGGGGGGTTTGGGGGCTTTAGGGGGGTCTTAGTTTTGTGTTGTGGGCGTGCTGGATGGAGTGGAGGGGTTTATATGTATTAGATTAGTCTCGGAGTCGCGCCTGCTGGAATTGGTTTTGCTGAATCTGCTCTGCATGCAGATGAAAGGATCCGGCGGTGATCAGTCATATATGAGTAATTAGAATTATTTTCTGGAGCGGTGGGACGGAGGGGGCGGAGCCTAATTAAAGCGTAACTCAGGACCCTGCTAACCGCGCCTGGTGTGAAACTCTTCAGCAGCTTTTTCACACACTGACACCATCGGCAGGGCCGGCCGACGAGTCCAGCTTCGTTCTCAGTTACGATTTCGGCTTCAAACGATTATAAAAACGAGATAATCGAGATAAAATAAAAGTTCTCAGTTTGTCTGGCGTTTTAAATCCAGCACCCCCTTCCTTTACAGCACCCCTCCCTAAACCCCCACGCTCAGCTCATTTGTTTTGGTCTAATTTATTTTTATTTATTATTTTTATATATGTTAAGTCATTTTCAGTGGGTTGTAGAAGTGCATTACAACACAGCTGATCTTATTTATTTTTATTTATTGTTTTATATTATTTAAATGCATATATATTTATTTATTATGTTATTAATTTATTATTTTGCATTAATTTGATTTGTTTTTCAGTTCAGCTGCGCTTAAAGATGAAGGAAATCCACTGTTAAAAAGACTTTGTTCCAAGTTCAGTTTATCTCAATAACAGTGTGACTGTATAAACCAGCTCCTGCTGCCATTCTACCTGAACAATATTAAATATAGTATATTTTACATTTATGTCATTATCCTGTCAGAACCTCCTTCTTTTATAAAGCCACTGTTGAGAAGATAAAGCTTTTTTTGGATAAGTAAAAAACAAAAACATCCCTGCTGTTGAAACCAAACCTCATTTTTCCAAAAATGCTAATTTTACAGAAGAAAGAAAAATTTTACAGAGAAGGAAAAAACAAGCATTACTTTTAATGTAAGTCAATTCATTCAAACAAAAAATTACATATATATGTTTATAAATATATATGTTTAGTTAGTGCCTGTGCTGGCCGTGTCGTTCAGGCCGAGTAAGTATAATTTGTCCTGTCTGAAACAGAGCGGGTGTTTATTTGTGTGTAAGTGGACTCACTGGCCCTTTCCTGACCGGCAGGGTATTTATATCAGTACTGTTACCGTTAGCACGCCGCTAACAGTGGTAGCCTCCTTTATTTTGGCCTGGGAAAGGAAGCCAGGGCCACCTTCTGAGAAGAGCCGCGGGCCACGTGGGCAGTTTGTGGTTAGCCTGCTAATTCGGGCCGTGGCAGTTTCACACCTCGAGAACAAATTCAGTCCTGAAGTGAAGTTTTTAGATCTGACTCTCTCTTTTCCATCTCCAGCGTTCAGCACGTGCTGTAAGGAGAGCGGCTTCCTGATGGTGCTGAAGTGCAGAGAGGAGAACGCCGCGCTGAAGGACTGTCTGACCAAACAGTGAGTCGGTCCGACCGCTCGGCCCGTTTTAGAGGAAAACTACAGCGTTTCTGATCCTCTAAATGCTGATTCTGTGGTTTACAGTCCGATAGCTCAGTTCAGCACGTTTCCCTCACAAGAACGCACCGAACCTACACTCAGTAGAACAGGACCAACTGATACAACAGCATTTTATAAATGTACATAAAATATGTTCTCAAAATATTGACAGTTTTAATGTGTTGTATATGGTGATCTCATACAAAGACAAATAGTAATAATATATCAAAGTTCTGATATCTGATTGGATGTGTGGGCCTGTTCAGATCTCAGCCTCATTATTGAGTATTATTTGGATATATTTTTAAAAGCCCACCAGAATAATGACAATCCAGCCCAAATTTGTGTTTACATGTTCCTTTAGTCTGTCAAGTCCTCACATCTGTACTGTTAGAGTGGAACAGCTGGAGATTCACTTTCAGCGTTTATTCACATAATTCAGCAACTGCCCATTGACTTCTATTGTAAATGTATTAAAGGGAAAGTCTTCATCATTTTTCATGAGTTTATCATTTTACCAAAATGTAACCGTAATTAAATGTTTTGGTGTGAAACTCTCTGTTCTAGATAAACTTACTGAGTCAGAACTGTTCACAGTGGTGGTGATAGGAACCAGTCGTCCACCTCTAAAAGCTCCTCACAGAAAGTTCCTACATGAAATGGTTATGAATTCACTGCCTGATGACTGAGACACTGTTTTATGATAGTTTAGAGAACCTAAACTCCATTCATGGTGGAGGGATACATGCAGGGCGCTGTGAGGCAAAATAGTCCCCAAAGAAAACTTATTATTTCAGATTTTCCACTATTTTCCATCATCAACATTCCATATAGACTCAGAAGACTCGTGTAGGTTCACTGGTGGTTCTGGATAGTAAATAAAATGTCTATATCTGTGTTGTAGTCATGGTGACCCCTGGTTCCTATCACCACCACTGTAAAGACATCTGAACCATTTCACACCAAACCTCTCAGTTATGGGGAAATTATTATATAAATATAAATATTATTGGAATTCCCCTTTAGTGTTCAGGCTGTATGTGTGTGTAAACAGGTGATGTTCTTCTTTTCCAGCTATAAGGACCCGGAGTTCTTTGAGGAGTGTAAACAGGAGTATATCAGGGAGAAGCTGGAATACGAGAGGACTGGAACTCCCTCCAAAAAAAGGAAGGAGAAATTGCCCACCAGCATGTAAAGAGCCGGAGGCTCCTGATTAAAGCCGAGCGCAGACGCACGCCTGGCCGCTCAGAGCGGAGCTGCATTATAATACAGACTCTGCGCTGCCACCACGTTGATATTCATGATGGCCTCATATAAATCTTCACTAGCACCTAAAGCCTGATCAAAATTCATAGAGGATTTTTCTTTTTTTGTTTTTGAATCACAGCAGAGGCTGATGGTGTATTTCTCTCCTCGAGGGAATTGCACTCCCTCTTTTTCCTTTTTTTAAGAATGTATAGTTTTACTCTGGTCTCTGTTTTTGCAGTGTGAGCGTATCAGAGTTATGAATCTGTGAGTTTCTTTCTCAGGCAGCACTCGCTTCACTCACTCATTCACTCGCTTCACTCACTTCACTCATTCACTCACAACAAACTCAGCTATTTCAGATTATAATTTATAATCATACACAGCACTGTGCAAAAGTCAGACCTGTCATTTATTCATTTCCAGTCAAAACTACTGTTATTAATGTTTCAGCAAAAAAAGCTCACTCTACTCTCGGCTGTGTGAGTCAGTGAGTCACTCTTTATTCCAGCTTCCATTCTGTTCAGGAGACTCACTTTCAGTTCCTCAAAGAATCTGCAGACACACCTCCAAAGTTCAGTCTTAGAAGCTGGTTGATCATTTTCTGAAGTAATCAAACACATTCAGTGGTGTTGAGGTCTGGACTCTGGGGTGGTCAGTCCATCGTTCAGCTTCTTTGTTTGATGTGTCCGTCTCCTTTTCTCAGTGAGGTTCTTCTTGATCAGCTACACATCCTTTCAGACCCACAGCGCTGAGTCGTCTTCTCACAGTGGAAGGATGGACAGAAACACCTGTGGATGTTTTCAGATCTGATCAGCTTGATTTTCTCCTCTCTCTCAGAGATGAAAGCTTTAAGTGCTGTTTATCTGATGGGGGCAGTTTTGGGGTTGACCAGCTCTTCCAGGTGGTTGTTAGGAGACACATTTTCTCTGGAGCTTTTAATCAGTTTTGAGCTCCATGTTTTATTTAGTTGCTGAGGCTTCAGTTTTCTAGTAAATATGTTTTCTGACACTGAAAAATGAACTTTTGCACAGTGCTGTGTATGTTCAGTCATAATAACATCGTCTTTTCAAAGACATGTTTTATCATATGAACATTGATATTTAACTCCAGGTAATTTTGCATCATCTGATCTTCTGCAGGTGTAATTAGATGATGTTTGTGGTGTTTATAATTGTATGATTGATGGTTCATCTATCAAATAAAGTGATGTGAAGGCTGCATTTACGCAGTTCAGTCTGATTGCACTGGCTGATCATTGGCCTGATATCTAAACAGCTGCACAGTCTGGGTTTGGATCGCAGCTGGACTTGAGGACACGGAGGTCCAACCGGGTGAAGAAAGGAAAAGCAGATCTCAGAGCTTCACAGCCTCCTTTCTGAACACTCATCCTTTAATCTTCAAATAATGAGATCTGAACAAAAGCTGTTAGAAACTCAGCTAGATGTTAACAATGTCTGACCAAACAAAGGTCAACTCAGTGGACATTTTATCAAATTCTGACCTATAATTTAGGTTTTTAGTCAACTTTTTAGACATTTAAAAACCGAAACATCCCAACAAACGACACAGCGGGCGCCCTGATGACGCAATACTTGACCATTTCTATCAAAACATAAACACGACACACTGAAAGCTGCGTGTTTTCAACCCAATCAATGTTTGATTCATCAATAAATACAAATGTTTACATTAATTTATTTAATTTAATATTTACAAACAGTCTGCAGAGTGGTCATCCTATAAAATAATCTACACTAACTGTACATTGCATTTTGGTTCCCACAGCAGGTGCAGCTGGACCACCACACGAACTCCACTGCCCATAAAATCAAAAGAATGGAAAACGGAAAACTGAGACCTTCATGAATGACCGTTCAGTAGGGCAGTCGGGTGAAGACAGAGCGGTTCCAGCAGGGGGCGGCGTTCCGTCGCAGGAGGAGTGATAGTGACAGTTTTCAGTCCCCGTCCAACACCACACTGAACTAATCTCACATTTACAACACAGACAGCGCCCAGATATGTGCGAGAACGTCTCTCCGGTGGTTCCGTAGGGGCAGCGCTGCGGCTAAACTGGTTTAAGGCGGTTTGTACAGGTTTACACACATGGAAGAGCGTTCTTATAAAAGGTCCTGCTGAGGGAGAAACAACACAACAAAACGGCCCCTGTTTTAAAGGTGTAGCTTACAGGACCAACAAGCCTCTACTGGTCAGTCCAGGCTGGGGGTGTCCAGTTACAGTCCTGGAGGGCCTTTAGTCCAGCACAGTTTGGAGATTAATACGGCCGCAAGGATCAGTCAAGAAAGTTGATTATGGATAACATTTAATGTTTTAAATAACATGCTATAACGTTCATATGGTCATTCTGACAGACTGTAATACACTACAGGAAGTGTAGGGGGCGATATGGCTTCTACTGTTTCATTTAAAAAGCTCTATAATGTTCATATGATCCACACAGTCACTCTGACAAGACTGTAATACACTACAGTAAGTGTAGGGGGCGATATGGCTTCTACTGTTTCATTTAAAAAGCTCTATAATGTTCATATGATCCACACAGTCACTGACAGACTGTAATACACTACAGGAAGTGTAGGGGGCGATATGGCTTCTACTGTTTCATTTAAAAAGCTCTATAATGTTCATATGATCCACACAGTCACTCTGACAGACTGTAATACACTACAGGAAGTGTAGGGGGCGATATGGCTTCTACTGTTTCATTTAAAAAGCGCTTAAGGAGAGAGAAACTGAGTGGTTAGCTTACTCAAATAAAGTCACTAGTTATGGAAATAACTGTTCAGTAGCGTGTCAGAGTCCGGAAATGGCCAAACTGTGTTCGACTGAAGTTCTCTAGAACTCAAACTAGACGTCCCTGGTTTAGAGGTCACGTTATTCCCACTAACCTGACCACATCCGGGTCTACGGTGATCAGAGATGGACCAGCAGCAGAACACTTCAGCACAAACAACATCATACTGAATTAATTTATCACATTAAACAGTCACATGGGTTCCTATCCAAACCAATAAAAGAGCTCTAAACCTTCAGTTTAAAGGAACAGTGGGCTAAAAATCTAGTGTGCAGTGTTTCACTCACCTCCAGTGTAGCTGATCATGTTTGGTGTCCAAATTTAGCTTCTTTACTTCAGCACTGGAGCTGCGAGGGTAACCTAGCTAAAACACTGGAAGTCAATAGTCACCCAAATCTTTCTGTAAAAATGCAGAACTTTGCTCAAACCGCGTCCAGCTCTTCATCACGGTGGCGAAAGCTCGTAGATTTAAAAATATAAACATGAACCAAACTGAACTGTAGCTGAACGCTGTAAGTAGACGCTTCAGACAGCAGGTGTTGTGCTGAATTCTGACTCCACTGCAGAATCAGACTCCCCTCTGTGTGCCCACACATATAGATGCTACTTAATGAAGACCTGGAAGCAGTTCGAGGATGTATTTACAGAAAAGATTTGGGTGACTATTGACTTCTATTGTTTCACAACATAGCTCCAGCGCTAAAATTTGCAAACCAAACATGTCCTGTCTGATCAACTACACCTGGGCTAAGCGGAGCATTGAAAATCAGTTTTTTTCGCCAAACTGTTCCTTTGATCAGGGATGGCTTTAAGAAAAAGCGTCAGGATTCTTTTACATTTTCATAAATCCAGAAATGGCGCGTTTAAAGTCAGCCTGAAGGAGCCGAGTGTTTGGGAAATAATGAAGAAACACAGAGAGGCACCAACGATATTATCATCTAACTACAGCCGTAATCACTCAGCGTCTTTCACAGTAATGAGGATAAAACAACACGAACAGGAGCCCCTACAGCAGCGGCACTCGGACCACAACTACAGGATTCAGACAGATTCTATATGGAGCGCGTTTAAAACACACACACACACTCACACACACACACACACACACACACACACACACACACACACACACACACTCACACACACACACTCACACACACACACACACACTCACACACACACACACCCACACACACCCCTCTCTGAAAAGCTATTTACACCCCCAGGTGAGAGCGACACACCTGCCCTCAGCAGCAGACACAGTGCAGGTGTTCTGAGGTACCTCAGCCTGGACTTCAGACAGCAGCGTCACCACATTCTGCACTTTCCCACCAAACTGACCCCCCCAGGCTCCGCCCACAGACGTCTTACTTCATAGCTACTGTTGTGAAATTAGAGAAGCTTCACAGAACACAGATAAAAATCAAACTGTAGAACAGACTCAGTTTATACCACAATACCTACATTCATCAGTCTGTTCTACAGTTTCTCATTAGGCTGAATGAATAACTGACTCTAAATGTAGGTATTGTGATATAAACTGAGTCTGTTCTACAGTTTCTCATTAGGCTGAATGAATAACCGACTCTAAATGTAGGTATTGTGATATAAACTGAGTCTGTTCTACAGTTTCTCATTAGGCTGAATGAATAACCGACTCTAAATGTAGGTATTGTGATATAAACTGAGTCTGTTCTACAGTTTCTCATTAGGCTGAATGAATGACCGACTCTAAATGTAGGTATTGTGATATAAACTGAGTCTGTTCTACAGTTTCTCATTAGGCTGAATGAATAACTGACTCTAAATGTAGGTATTGTGATATAAACTGAGTCTGTTCTACAGTTTCTCATTAGGCTGAATGAATAACCGACTCTAAATGTAGGTATTGTGATATAAACTGAGGCTGTTCTACAGTTTCTCATTAGGCTGAATGAATAACCGACTCTAAATGTAGGTATTGTGGTATAAACACACTGTTCTACAGTTTGATGGGATTTTTATCTGTGTTCTGTGAAGCTTCTCTAACCTCACAACAGTAGCTATGAAGAAAGACCTTTGAGGGTGGAGCCTGGAGAGGATAGCTGGTCTTCTTTTGGTTGGACTGTGCAGGGAAACAATTGTTAAAGCAATCTTGCAGCCCCGTCAGAGAGGCCGGCGCTCTTTAAGGCAGGTAAGGTGTCTTTGCGGTCAGACGTGAGGGTTCTCGGTCAGTACGGCTTTGCCCATTCAGAGCTGGAGCCGCTAGACTTTGGCCCCTCCCAGAAGAGGGCGTCGCAGGGCCGGGGGTGGCTGGGGATGGACCAGGACCCGTCGTCCAGAGAGGGGGTGCCGTGGTTCTGCAAGGTGGGGGGGCCGCCGGGGCTGCCCAGCGGGGCCGGACGTTGCA